GCTATGCCGATGCAGGTTATTTGTCTGATCCACATAAAGCCCGATCTCAAACAGACTATTTGTTTACATATGGAGGTACTGCTATATCATGGCGTTCAATGAAACAAACAATAGTTTCCACATCTTCAAATCATGCTGAGATAATAGCCATTCATGAGGCTAGTCAGGAATGTGTTTGGTTAAGATCAATGACTCAGCATATTCAGGAAATGTGTGGTTTTCTTATGAAAACAGATAATCCAACTACACTATATGAAGACAATGCTGCATGCATTGCTCAACTGAAAGGAGGATACATCAAAGGAGACAAAACAAAGCACATTTTACCAAAGTTTTTTTACGCATGATCTTCAACAAATGGTGAAATTAATGTTCAACAAATTCGTTCATATGAAAATTTGGTTGATCTGTTCACTAAGGCATTACCAACCTCAACATTTGAGAAGTTGAGACAGAAGATTGGAATACGCCGTCTTCAGGAAATAAATTGATGTTTTCATGAGGGGGAGTAAGATACACGATGTATTCTTTTTCCCTTAGCCTAGGTTTTGTCCCACTTGGTTTTACTGGTAAGGTTTTTAACGAGGTAGCAAATAAAGCGTATTACAGATATGTGTACTCTTTTTCCTTCACTAAGATTTTTTTCCTACAGGGTTTTTCCTTAGTAAGGTTTTAACGAGGCACATTGTCTATGAACATCAAAGGGGGAGTGTTATGATAAATATCACATTATGGTGGATGTCTACTCTTCTTCCATGATTTTCATCTCAAATGCTTAATGACATATTCAATGACATATTTTGTATGTTCAATGACATATTTCATGACATATTTTCTTTACTTTTTATGCCTATATAAAGGCCTTGTAATAGATAGGAAAATACAAACAATTGAAGAAGAAAATCTCTTCCTTTTCTCTGTCTTTATTTTTGTTCATGTTTTACTAAATTGATTTTATTTCTTGTTCATGTTTTACTAAATTGCTTTTATTTTATAACAATTTTCTATATATTCGTTAGCTTCCGAAGCCCAATTTTATGTCTTATCCCTAGAATAAAGAACATTTTACATTGCCGTTCAATATCGTTAATTATGCTAGCTTTTTGACTCTGTTGACTTGCAATAGTTCCTGAAAATAACTTTCCCCTTCGAGTCAATTCGAATTATTGGGTCAGTAAAGTAGTTTCTTTTCCAACAGATTGAATTGAACACCCTTGGATCTAAGTTTTTCCGGCAATTACATACATCAACATGGTAGCTGGAGCAAAGCCTAAATACGACGTGTTTTTAAGTTTTAGAGGAGAAGACACCCGCAAAAACTTTGTTAGTCATCTATACCGTGCTTTAACAAAGAAAGGAGTTCACACTTTCAGAGATGATCGGAGCGTAGAGAAGGGAAAAACAATCAAAGATGAACTAATCGGTGCTATTGAAGAGTCACGACTGGCCGTTATCGTGTTCTCGGCGAATTATGCGTCGTCCAGATGGTGTTTGGAGGAACTCGTTAAGATCATCGAATGCAAGATCCAGAAAAAGCAAACTGTTATACCCATCTGCTATGGTATTAACGAATCAGAAAAGTGCAGCGTAGTTGATGGTTTTGCTGAAGCTTTTGCCAAACGTGAAGCATATTCTACGGATGGTTACTTTGATGAAGAGAGACTGAAAAGTTGGAGGAAAGCTCTAACTGAAGCAATAGATTCAGGCTGGGATGTCAACAAGTGTGTGGAACAGTACTATCGGTGAGTTTCAACTCTCTCAAGTTTAATTGTAGTAATTTCTTTGTCACTCAGTTGTATATACACTAAGTAGAAGTGGTAAGTAAAAGAAATTTAGCGGGGATGAGGGAAGAGGGAGATAGTGTTGAATGTATATATAGGAATTTCATTCCATTAATGGCTTTTAACGTTACACTAAACCAAACTAATGAGTCGCTAAAAGAAGGTGAAGAGCTCACTTAAATTATAACTGAATTAATGAAAGAAACAAGTTTACTCTATCTTATAATTTGTGCCTGTGCATAAAATTAATCTTGCAGGGGTCATGCATGCATATACTGTTTAACCTTTTGTTTTTATGGGAAAAGTTTGTTTTCTTTTAATCATACTAGCAAATCAAATTTAATTCATTAATTTAGGCAATTTATCAACTGATGGATGAGTTGAATTGGAATTAATTCATTAATATTTTTAGGAACGAAGCGGAATGTATAGAGCAGATAGTGAAGGAGATCGTTAGCAAGCTAAGATCGGAAGAAGTGGCCGGAGAAGTACGTCAAAAGGATGTGGAATTCGGAAGTAAATTCCTGTCGGAGAGAGTCATTGGCTTCACTCGTTCAGCAGCATCTCCTTTCCCATTGTGTGTGCCCGTATTTTTTTTTTGTGACCATTTATAGTATTTAAAAAAGTGATCAAACTTTCTAGTCCAAATATAAAGATATAAAAGTCGACGATCGACCAATGGTTGGAGTACTTGGTGCGACTTTTTCTTTATTTGTGGGGTGGGGACGGTGAACCACTTGAGCACTCTAATGTGCTTTCTGACTATTGTTAGTGGGCACGATAGACCACTTCACTACTCTTTATGCTTTGTTGACTGCAAATATTATTACTCTTATTTAGTACTGTAGTTTAGTATATAGTATTAGATTAGAAATATCTCCAAAATCGTATATAAGGCTCTTGAGTAGATAGCTACCTAATATAGTAATGTACTCCTAATTTCTATTGTATGTTAGGATTAGGATGGTTTAACTATTGTATTAGTAATGTACTCCAAATTTCTACTGTATGNCTGTAGCACTGTAAACTGTAAAGTTTCAACCTTGCTAAAAAAGTTTCTCCACCTTAAGGAGTAGAATGTCAAAATCAGTGGATCGTATTTGTACGTTGTTGACAAATTTAACTCGATTATTCATCAACGGAGGTTTAGGTATAGAGGAGCAGAAATGAGAGAAGAAGAATTAGAGGTGAAGATAAAAAATGAACGTTGCTTTTTCATTTCACACTATACGTGTTAATATACAATTACAGTCTAATAATACAACTAAGTAACAGCTGTCATTCTTTAACCTACTAACTTCTTAACAATAATTAACCATCTTGCTAACTACCTAGCAGCAGTGTAACTAACAACTGCAACCATAGTTAGTTAACTCAAGTTACTCCTATTTTATCACTCCCCCTCAAGCTGGTAGGTGCAAAAACATTAAGCACCCTCAATTTGGATACTAGATACTCATGTTGTGATATCAGAAGTGCCTTGGTCAATATGTCTGCTTGTTGCTCTTTAGAACTAACATGATGTGTTTTGATTAATTCTTGTTGAATCTTCTATCTCATAAAGTGGCAATCAATCTCTATATGCTTTGTCCTCTCATGGTACACTGGATTTGCTGCAATTTGTTGCGCTGCCTTATTATCACAGAACAATTCAATCGGTTTCTTCACATCTGCTCATAGCTCCTTGAACAATCCAGGCACCTATATTAGTTCTGCTACAATCCCTACCATGCTTCTGTATTCAGCTTCTGCTGAACTTCTTGATACTGTGTTTTACTTCTTTGATTTACAGGAGAGTCTCCATACTTTACTAGAAAACTAGTAACTGATTTCCTTGTATTAGGACATGATGCCCAATCAACATCACAATAGGCACTCGAAACATTTGCCTTTCTGCTACTCATCAGTATGCCAACTCCAGGCTCTCTCTTGATGTACCTTACAACTCTTAAGGCTGCTTCCCAATGTCTTCTCTTAGGTTGCTGCATGAATTGGCTAAGGGTTTGAACTGCAAAAGCTATATCTAGTCTGTTTAATGTCATGTACAATAGTTTCCCAATGCGTCTCTGATATTTCCCTTTATCTTCCAATGCATCATCATCTTGCACCCCTGTAATGTCATCTAGTTTTTTGCTAGTAAACTTCTGGTTGTATTCAAGTGGAGTCCAAGCAGTCTTTGCAGCATTTAATCCTAGATCACCAATTAGTTCTAAGGCATACTTCCTCTGGTTCATCAGAAAACCTTTGGTGGATCTACATAATTCAATTCCCAAAAAGTATTTTAACTCTCCAATATCCTTCATTTTGAATGTTTTGTTCAGTTGATCCTTAGTAGCTTCTATCAATTTCAGACTATTCCCAGTGATCAACATGTCATCCACAAAAACCAGAATGACAACAACGTTGTTATCCTGTTTTTGAGTAAACAAGGAATGATCCAGACTGCTTTGAGTAAACCCATGTGCCAGTAGAGCTTCATTCAACTTAACACTCTATTGCATGCTTGCTTGCTTCAATCCATAAAGGGATTTGGCATGCCTGCATACAAGATGCTCCCACTAGCTTGTAAAACCCTTAGGTAGTTGCATTTATATTTCATCATGAAGATCTCCTTGTAAAAAGGCATTGTACACATTAATTTGGTGGATGTGCCAACCTTCCGCTGCAGCTATAGACACCACTGATCTCTGAGTTGCTATTTTAACCACTGGTGAGAATATTTTAGTATAGTCAAGGCCTTCTTGCTGGTTGTATCCTTTGGCAACCAATCGTGCTTTAAACCTCTCAATATCTCCATTGGCTTTATACTTCACCTTGAATACCCATTTGCAACCAATGAGAATTTTTTCTTTTAGGCAAAGGTACCAATTCCCAAGTTTTGTTCTCCTCTAGAGCTGAAATTTCAGTCTTCATAGCCTCTACCCATCTAGGGTCTGCAGAAGCTTCCTTGAAGGATCTTGGTTCAGCTACAGAAGTAAGGGCAGTGAGAAAATATTTATAGGCAGGACTAATGTTGGTATAGTCAACTGAATTCTGGATAGGATATGATACATGTGAAGCAAAATTGGTGGCTGGTGTGACAAAATCCTTTAACCAACCAAGAGCCTTTTTTGTTCGAACTAACTTTCTTAATTCTGCTGACTCAGTTGATGGCATGGTATCTGGAAAGAAGATTTCCTCATGTGCAGATTTAATCACAGATGAATCCTCCATCACTGCTCATGTGTCTGGTTCAGAAGTAGGTGGGATATCTATAACGATAGGTATATCTACTTCATGATCAACTCCAGCTGATGGAACTGGTGAAGCATCATTCTCCAATTGAACAATCTCTAGATCATCTAAACCAGCTTCTCCTTCCATGTCATCCATAGCTTGATCAAGCAATATTGGACAATTTAAACTATCATCAGCAAGCAATGGTGAAGGTCTGCCCTTTTTGAACTTGAAGGGAAATATAGTTTCTCTAAAGCTAACACCTCGGTTGATGAAGAAGGTGTGAGAGGCTATATCATACAAAATATATCCTTTTGTAGAATCTGAATATCCTATCATGATAGCTACAATTGCTCTAGCAGCAAATTTATCATGATTGTTCAGCGTCTTTGCAAAACACAAGCATCCTATTGTTCTCAGATGTTGCAGATTAGGTTTCCATTTGTGAAAAACTTCATAAGGTGACTTCCCTTGTAAAGCCACAAATGGCATTCTATTTATCAGGTAAGCTATTGCTATGACATAATGTCCCCAAAATTTTAAGGAAATTGCTCCCTGAAATCTAATTGTCGTGGCTATCTCCAGGATATGTTTATGTTTTCTTTTAGCCACCCCATTTTGCTGTGGGGTGTGCACACAAGTTCTCTGATGTATGATCCCCAAACTCTGAAATATCTGAGAGCAATTTGCATTAACAAACTCTCCGCCATTGTCTGATCTAATCAATTTCATAGATTTCCCAAACTGTGTTTGTATCATATTGAAGAAATTCCTTAAAATTATATCTACATCATTTTCAAACTCGAGCAGATATAACCAAGTAATTCTAGAATGATCATATACAATTGTTAGAAAAAATTTATTCCCATAGTAAGTTTGGACATTGTAGGGGCCCATTCATCAATGTGTAGCAAGTGAAAAACTTTAGAAGCTCTACTTGTGCTATTACTGCAAGGCAATCTAACATGTCTTGCTAATGGACATATTACACAGTTTTCTACTGCTTTTCTACACTATTCTTGTGAGATAGTCCCAACATTTGTTTTATTGCTCCAACTGCTGCATGCCCCAACCTTCTATGTCAAAGATCAATATCTAGCTTCTCCTTTACTGCAGCCCAGCTGTTATTTTCAGCAGTGGTCCTCTTAGTATAATTCTGAGGGAAAAAGTAGAGATCACCTCTTTCTCTACCAATCCCCCTGACCTTCCCACTATAAAGGTTCCGGAACATGCAAAAATGTGGGAAGAAGGTGACTGAGCATTGTAACGCCTTTGTGAGCTTAGAAATAGACAACAAATTGTATTTGAAGTCTGGTATATATATATATATATATATATATATATATATATATATATGACATTGTCTAAAGTGTCTATGCCATTGAAACTACATGAACCAATGTGTGTTACAGTAGTTGTTCCTTCATTTGGTAATTGTACCTTTTATTGTTCATGAGGTTCTAATTTAGTTTTGTTTTCTAGCATATTTAGGTCTGAGATCATATGGTTTGTGGCTCTAGAGTCAACAATCCAATCCTTCTTCTGCAAATCTACTGAAAAAATATTATCATTACCTGCCATATTTGCTGAGACTTCATCAATACCTGCCATGTTAGTTGATGATTCACTAGTGTTGTCTTGTTTGAGTAGCTTTAGGATCTGAGAGTACTGTTCAGGTGTGAAATAAGGCCTTAGCAATTGTTCTGCCCCATTCATCACCATGGCTTTGTCTTTCCTCCTTTGCATCATGTTTTCTGCCATTACCAACAAGAACATTATGAGCTGCAACGAAATTTTGCTTCTTCTTATACTTGAAATCACCAGGGTATCCTATGATTTTGTAACAACCTTCACGAGTGTGGCATTTTAGTTTGCAGTAGTCACAGTACACATTGTAGTTCCTCTTAAGCTTCTGAGTAAAACCTCATTTTGCCATGATAAGTGTTGTAATATCTGCATTATCTGTTACAAATACAATGTTTGTCATATTTCTTTGGCTCTCCCTTTCCTTAAGCATAAAGTGTGCTTTGTTAATGGTAGGCACATGTACCATCATAAGTAGCTGCCTTCTAGCTTGTTCATATGACTCATTGAGTCCCATTAGAAATTGTAGAAGCTTTTGACGCTCTATAAACTGAACAAATTCACGAGAATTGGCAGTTTCACGACCAGAAATTGGTGTCAAACTATCAAATTCTGCCCAAAGCACTCTCAATTTTTAGAAATAGGTTGAAATTGAGCTAGTGCCCTGCATAGCAGTGGCAATTTCTTTGTGGATCTGAAAAATCCTAGAACAATCCACCTTATTAAAACGTTCCTTCAGATCATCCCAAACCGCATTAACATTTGATGAATACACCATTCCACTCAATAATTCTGGTGAAACATAATTCATCAACCAAGACAAAATAATTGCATTACAATTCTCCCACAGATTAACGAGATTCGTACCGTAATTCTCCCTTTTACATGTGCCATCAATGAACCCTAGCTTATTCCAACCTAGGATTGCAATGCTCATTGCCCGGCTTCACACGGAGTAATTTTCCGGTCCTTTCAATTGCAACGAGATCAATATAGCTCTTGAATTATCATTTGAATTCAGGAAAAGTGGATGATTGTGACCTAATTTCTCTGGTTCGGTGTTATCAAGAGTCGCCATCGTCGAGCTTCCAAATTAGCTTTGAGAAAACAAAATTAAGGATGATAAGACCACACTAATGATTGTGTGGCTCTGATACCATATCAAAATCAGTGGATCGTATTTGTGTTGTTGACGAATTTAGCTCGAGCATTCATCAATGTAGGTTTAGGTATAGAGGAGCAGAAATGAGAGAAGAAGAATTAGAGGTAAGATGAAAAATGAACGCTGATTTTTCATTCCAAACTGTATATGTTAATATACAATTAGAGTCTAATAATACAACTAAGTGCTAGTTGTCATTCTCTAACTAACCTACTAACTTCTTTTAACAATAATTAACCACCTTGCTAACAACAACAGTGTAACTAACAACTGCAACCACAGTTAACAACCTCAGGTTACTCCTATTTCATCATACAATCCTACCATTTTCGCAGGATCTCAAAACTAAATTACAGTTTTTGTACGAAAATACCATTTTATATGTTTATTTATTTTAGGTATGTTTTATGAAAAAAGTATTAGTACTTTGAAACGAGACAATACATATATATATGTTTGTCAAATCCAATCATGCTTTGGACGAAGATCTGGCTCTTCTAGAAAGGTTTCTCCCAATGTGCCGCAGGACATAAGATAACGCAATATAAAAAAGGACCGTGCATGTTTTCTTTCACTAAGCCTGTTTTATTTCGTGAGTGCATTGACATGGCCACTGCTATTAAGCCACAAGTTGGATAAGATTTATTGGAATCAGGAGAAATCACATACGTTGTTGTATAAATTCGTGGACTTCAATTATAGCCTATTGACTCAAATCAAAACCATCCCTTAGAGAGGACTAGTGAAACAACTTTAAAGCTTAGCAGATTGAAATAAATTACTAATAAGGGTAAGAGGGAACAACGACTCTGTTTAGTGTTATATGTTATTGGGCAATCATCAATTCATAAGCTAGTATCTGATGTTTAGTTATGCCTAAGTGTCACGATCCAAAAATCTCACCTATCGTGATGGCGCCTATCGCAACACTAGACAAGTCGACAATTCACAAATAACTATGCATTTTTAAATTTAAAACATAATTAAACAAGCTTAAATAGTGAATATTTCATAATACCTGATAAGAAAATACCGCAACTCAATACAAAATCTCTCCCCCTCCCCCCCTAAAATCCGGGTGTCACTGAGTATATGAGCATCTAAATGACAACATAATATGACTACTAAAACACTATCTAGAAAGATAGAACAATACGAATAAACTAGAAAGAAGTAGAGTCAAGGTTTGCGGATGCCAAGGCAGTTACCTCAATAGTCTCCGAAGATAAAGCTCCAAAGCTAGCAACCACCGTGCCCCGAAGTACATGGATCTGCACACGTAGTGCAAGGTGTAGTATGAGTACAATCGACCCAATGTACTCAATAAGTAACAAAATTAACCTTGGGTAGAAAATAGTGACGAGCTCAAAAAAGTACAATCCAAAATCCAGATTACAACGTTACATATATGATAGGAAATGTGACAGTAATATCTCAGAGAAACTCATAATTAGATGGTACACAATACATGAATGTAGATATGCTTTCAAGTCAGTTTAAGCTCAACACAAATGACATATGCCAAGTATGATTGATATGTGTAATGTTACATCTCTATTTCTACATGTCAAATGTGCATGTCACATGTAATGTACCACAATGATAACCTCACGTACACCCACTTTTCGAGTACTCAATCTGACTGTCTCAACTCTCTCGCATCACACTCAGTCACTCAATATTGTATGGTACCTGCGCTCACTGCTGGTATGTCAGACTCCAGAAGGGTGGAGCCTGCCCAAGAATTAATACAAAGCCAATCTGGCCTGCTGCGACGTGCATCCCGATCCCATAATAGCAAAGCTTATAAGGCAAGCTGCGGCGTGAAGCCGAATGTATATAATAATAATATATATAAAGCCAAGAAGGCCTGCTGCGGCATGCATCACGATCCACAATCTCTCTCACAACACAACTCTCAAACCCAACTCAGTCATCAATTTCTCCAGTTTTCCGGGCTCACAAATCTCATGCCAATCAGCTCAAATAATGATATATGATACAACAATAAATAATAAGAGAGACTGAGATATGATATGCAAATGATAGATGTGACTGAGCATAATATTGCCATTTAAGTAGATAATTCAACAATAGTAATGATCCTAGTAGGTCTAAACAGGATAGGCATATAACCTAAACATGATTTCTAACATGGATTGCAGCTCAATTACTCTAACACATAGGGATCACATGAATAAAATAAGGTTTGATGACTACACAGTACCACAGAATCGACCGGTCACAATTACCACGGTGCACGCCCATATTCCCGTCATCTAGAATGTGCATTACCCCAACACTAATCACATAATACGTATTTCGGGGATTCATACCCTCAGAACCAGTTTAGAAGTATTACTTACCTTAAACTATGCAAATCTCTACTCCAACAAGCCTTTGCCGTGCGAATCGGCCTCCGAATGACTCGAATCTAGCCACAAATAACTCAATACAATCAACACGAGCTATAGGAATCAATTCCTTATGATAAAGCTAAGCTTTTTAACAAAAGTCAAAAAGTCAACTCAAAAAGTCAACCCCGGGCCCACATCTCGAAATCTGATAAAATTTACAAAATTTGACCACCCATTCAACCACGAGTCGAACTATACCAAAATTACCAAATTCCGACACCAAATCGTCAGTCAAATCTCCAATTATTACTCTCTAACACATGGGTCAAAAATCCCCAAATTTACCTCAAAAATACCAAATCTATGGGAGAAATTCAATTGGTATTCAATGTTAATAGACAAAACGACCAAAATTTGCTTACCTCTCAAAATCTTGAAAAACCCCCTTCAAAACTCACCTTAATCCGAGCTCCCACAGTCCAAAACTGAAGAAATCACTCTAATCTTCGTTTATATCCCTTCTGCCAGCGAAACCACACTTGCAGCCAAGAATTTCACATCTGCGAAACTGTTTCTGCGGTTGCACGTACGCTTATGCAAAGAACACTATACACCCGACCATGCACTCTAGCAGACCCCTTTTGGCACCTGCGGGACTGCATATGCGAATAACCCATCGCTTCTGTGATCACCAGCCACACTGCCCAGCTTCGTTTCTACAGAACACTTTGAATAGGAGAGCGTCTGCTTCTGCGGATTTCTACTTCGCACCTACGCTTCCCAGATGCCTTTTCCATTTTTGCACATGTGCGCACCAATCCGCTTCTGCGGCTTCGCACCTGCGGCCAATCCTTTCGCAGGTGCGATGCCACCAGACCTGAAGCACTTCAGCATATATCCTAAGTCAATTTTCGATATGTTAACCATTCGAAATTCACCCGAGGCTCCCGGGACCTCAACCAAACATACCAACAAGTCCTAAAAAATGACATAAACTTAGTTTAGGCCTCAAATCAGATCAAGCAACATCAAAACACGATTGGCACCCCAATTCAAGTCTATTGAAACTAACTAATTTCCAACTTCTACAATCGATACTGAAACCTATCAAATCAACTCTGATTGACCCCAAATTTTGCACACAAGTCATAAATGACATAACGGACCTATTTCAACTTCTAGAACCAAAATACAGTAATCATAAAGTCAACTCTCGCTCAAACTTCTCAGCTCTCAAAACTTCTATTTTTCCAACTTTCGCTAATTCAAGCCAAAATCACCTACGGACCTCCAAATCAATATCCGGACACACTACTAAGTCCAAAATCACCCTACGAAGCTTTGAGAACCATTAAAACTCCATTACGGAGTTATTTAGACATAAGTCAATATCCGGTCAACTCTTTCAACTTAGGCTTCCAACCTTGGGAATAAGTGTCCCAACTCATTCTGAAACTTTTCCAGAACCAAACTGAGTACTGCCCCCCCTCCCCGCGAGTCACATGACAAAAAATGAGCCAAACTAAGCAATAAATAGGGTAACAAGGTTACAATACTCAAAATAATCGGTAGGTCGTTACACTCAAGTTCATTTTCTCAACAAGATATCAAGGTTAGATCCATTCCAATTCTTTAGTTTTTTAATGTGCAACCCCTAA